TTTTTTTTAATTGTATCCTTTGCTATATATGGTTGTGACAATTTTCTTTCACTATTTGATCTGAGGAAGTGGGTCTGGCCCACGGAAGCTCATCACCTAATAAACCATCTTGTTAGTCTTTAAAGTGCTACATAGTCCTGTTTTTTGTTTCAGCTACACCAGACTAACACGGCTACATTTCTATCATTCTTCTGAATCAGATACTCAGATCTGTGCGTCGCTGGAAGGAAAATCCCCATGCTGGATCGCTTTGGAGTTTAGAAGCACAATCCCAGCGCTAAAAGCATCTAACGGCTGCCTTATCACTTACTGCAATCTTCTTTCATCCTTTTCATGCAGCGTGAGATACGTTAGTATCCTAGTCTTGTGTATAATCAGCACATTCTTGGGCTCCATGTACTTCAAGAAGCCGACTGAAAATCAAACCAAGGGAAAGATTTCAGAGGCTCAGTCTGCCATGAAACTTCTATCGCCGGAAAATTACAAGTCCTTGTTCACCTACAATGGAATCTGGTAAGGTCACTTGCTGATATTAGCTGCTTTCCCTGCTCTGCGGAGCTTGCTGGATTTGTGCAAACGCTGCCAAAGGGAAAGGCTTGCGTGGAGGGGTGGGAGGGGAGGGGAGAGGGTAATTTTTGCTCCAGGTGTTCATGGCCACATTGCAGAAACTAATTTCAGGTTAGGAGTCGAGGAAGATGCTTTTCACTAGTTGCCTAGTTCATCTGATCCAGGGATAATATTTGACAAACTCTTTGAGACTAATGCAAGCGTCCGGGTTGTTGGATGTTTGTTATAAACTGGTTACGAACAAGCTATTGGCCAAAATAGTCTGCAAAAATCAATGTGTAAATAACATGGACTAGCAGGAGACAAGGGCAAGTTTTGGTCGCAGGGAGGAAGGGTACAAGGCAAAATTAATAAATCCAAGGGATGAACTGATTCAGTCGCAGCACTTAGAACTGTAAACGTGGGGCATTTTCAAAAGTGAGTTTCACTGAGATTTAAGCCACTCAGAATGTCTACACGGCAAAAACCCCTCAAACCCAGCAAGGTCAAGTTTCTCAGCCAGATCGACAGAATCAGGCTCACACTCGGGGGCTCACGCCTGCTGGGCTCTGAAATCCAGCGGGGACGGGTCTCGGCAGTGCTTTTTTTGTGGAAAACAGTGTGGACGTTCCGCTGCTGCTATTTCGAAATAGCGACTCCCCGGAGTCATTCAGAGTAATTACTCCCCCGCGCTTCCTAGGGTGCTCAGTCCAGGGAGCGTGTCCACAGTAATAGAGCCTGCCTCAGACTCATTTCAAGGCTCCCTCGATTTTGTTATTTCAGGAGTTATTTCAAATTGAGTCATTTTGAAATAATTTCCTAGGGTAGACATGCCCTCAGTGGAGCACTTGCCTTGGTCCTTACTAAACTTCACCCTCGTTACCTCCGACCATTTCTCCAGGTTGGCATAAATAGCAAATTCCACAGCTGTTACCACATCCGTGACACTTGCTATTCATGCCGGGACCAGCCAGCCCAAAAAAGTGACTTCTCTGCTGTTTTTAAGTAAACCTTTCGCAATGCCAGGTGCCGTAATAGCTGGGGTGAAACGGCATTCAAACGCACTTTCTTTCCTCTTCCCCATTGTTGGGCAAACTAGCCGCTGCCGGTGCTCTCTGCTGCGCTTTGCTGCATCTTTGTTTTCACATAACACGGACTGGTCCTAAAGCAAGTCAATAATAAGAGGATTTAACTTCAGTCCTTTTAACTTCCGTCTTTCCCATGCTCTGCCTGTGGCACACACTAGTTTAGCTTCCGGCAGGAGCTGGTCTAATTCGGGTGGTTGAGATGGAGGGGGGGCTGCCTTGGGGTGCCTCGGTCAGATTAGCATGGTCGCGTGTTCCTGTCTGGCTTCAAACCCTGAATTCATCCCTTAATTGCTGACCTTTGATTTCACAAGCCGATGGTCACGTCGGATAGAAGTGCCAGTCTGCTGAAGGATGGGCCAACCCAGCTCGACTCCGGCCTCCTGCTTGTCTCGGTGGTGAACTGTGCCCTGTCACGTTAAGCAAACCATCGTTGCGTTAGGGATGCTCGCAGCAGGGTAGCCGGGTAAGGGCGTTACCCAAGACCGCAGGCAGGGTGCCAGTGCTGTAAGCTAGCTAAGCGCAGCCGGTACCTAGCCGTACCAAGCCTGTGCCATTCCCCAGCCTGGCTTCGGTCTGTGTGTCAGCCAAACGGCCCCCGCTACAAACGGGGGCGGGAGAGGAACCTGCTCAAGGAAGGGTCCTTTTCAGAAGGGGGGACGGAGGGACAAGAGGTGGCGAGGGGGAGAAGGCGGCAGAGCAGGAACTGGGGACAGAGATACAAACGCAAGAGCCAGCCAGGAGACGTAGGCCAGGCTTGCACGCAAGGGAAAGGTCCAACTAAGAAGCGCAACGTCGGCTCCGCTCGTCCCGTCGCTGGAGCGGACTTGCCTAGATTCATGGTTCGCTGCCGCCCCCATCTCACCGGAGCAAACGCTCCCATGGGCTTCCCTAGTGCGTCTACACGGCACCGTAACTCGAAATAAGAGCCGCGATGTGAGCGGTGCCAATTACCTTGCTTGCTTCGATGCTGTTTCAAACTAGCTTATGTCGTCAAATGTCAAAATAAAGCGCTCTTCCTGAGCGCCCCTTGCTCCCCACGGAATGAGGGGTACAGCGATGTCAGAATAGCGAGCCCAAAACAACGGGTTTGCTGTGAAGAGGCAGGATGGTATTTTGGGATACTCCAGTATCCTGAAATAGCGTTGCAGTATACACGCAGCCTGACTCCTTGCAAGAGCAGGAGGATTGTCCTCGGACGGGCACCTGCTGAGTTTCAGTTAGTGGATTTAGTGATTTACATTGAACTCCAGAAGATCGCTTGCAGCAGCGTCTGTCTTCCCTGGAGTGTAGACACAGCCTGAGAGGAGCAGAAGTAGAGAGGAGGTTTATGGAACATCCATCCTTTCATAGAGCTTGAAAAGCACTTTAGAGCCTATGAATGCAGCAGGAGTAAAATGCAGCCACTTCTGGGGTGGAAGGCAACAGCACATTATACCACTAAGGGAAGGAAAGGGTTGTTGTGTTTCTTGTGGGGGTTTTTCCCCCCAAGGATAGCCTGGGGAACCCCCTCCTGCCTTGCGAAACTACCACGCCACTTCCCCTCCTAACTGAGACTCTATTTTCCTTAAGGCTCTGGCCCTTATTGTGTCACCTTGTGCTGGTGGCTTCCTGCCAGAACTCTGCTCCCGGACCTCCACGGGGCGGCTTGGCTCAATGAGGCATTTACGGTTGGGTGTAAAACACCTGCCTTCTGGAACTGGGATTTGGCAGCACGGCAGCAGCAACGTGCACGTTGGCACAGGTGGGGGAGCTGGGCTGCTCTCAGGCTCCTGGAGAGACAAGGGGGGCGAGGCTGGACCCGCGGCTGTGGGGGAAAGAGGTTCTGGTGAAGGCGATCCCCCGCCCCCCCCCATGGTGCGCGCAGGGACGGAGAGGAACCTGGAGGCTCCCTGCCCACCGCAGAGAGGGACGCGGGGCGCAGCGACCGGCAGGGCTTGCAGCAGGGGAGGAGGAAGGAATGTGGTGGAGCAGGCTGGTTCTGGAGGGGACAGGGGTGCGAGAGGCAGCCTGCAGGATCCGGTCAAATGGGCCATGGTGAGTCATCGATCCCAGGGACCAGCTTGAGCAACTCTAACCAAGCAGGCCCTGCAACTTCTCCGGGTGCCCCGGGGAGCTGCCATGGGGCCCGCCCGCCAGCGGATCCGTTGCTGGAAAGAGGGAGCTCCTAAGCCCCTCCATGGAAAGGCCACGGACCCTGCCCCCCTCCAGCCACGGGAAGGGGGGGAGGGGGCGCTGTGTGGCTAGCGGCTTGCTGGGATTCCACGTTCCCCTGCGCCCGCTCTTGCAGGGAGACGAGGACGCCGGGGGGCTCCCGATCTCTGAGTGGGGTGGGGGCGATGGCCAGTTTTCCCCGTGGTCTGGGGCCGCTTGTTTCATGGGCGAGGTGGTACATAGGGCGAGGGGGGTGCCATGACCCGCCCTGGTGTCTGGGATGAGAGGGGGGGCTCTTACCTGCGCTTGCAGCTTCTCTTCCTTCCGCTCTTGCAGGGAGACGAGGACGCCGGGGGGCTCCCGATCTCTGAGTGGGGTGGGGGCGATGGCCAGTTTTCCCCGTGGTCTGGGGCCGCTTGTTTCATGGGCGAGGTGGTACATAGGGCGAGGGGGGTGCCATGACCCGCCCTGGTGTCTGGGATGAGAGGGGGGGCTCTTACCTGCGCTTGCAGCTTCTCTTCCTTCTGCCTGCTGCAGAGCGGGACCAGGGCGGGGCCAGGAGCAGCCAGCACAGCCCTCTGAGCCGCCGGGAGCACATGCTGATTCAAAGGGCTCCACCAGGGCGGGGGCTCTTGCAGCGTTGCTCCCTTGCCCCCAGAGACATCCGGTGCCTTTGTGACTCCCAGCCCGAGGGCTCTGCTCTCCAAGCTGGGAAGGCGTGGTGGGGCGGGGGGCGTGGTGGGGCAGGGCCTCTGGCCTCTGGTTCTGTCCCAGAAGTCGGCTTTGGTGTGAAGGGTGGAGCGAGCAGGGGGAGGCGAGTTATTTTGCTTTATGGCCCTTCCCTTGTGCGGCAGCTTCCCTGGGCTCCGTCGGCCGTAAAGGACCGGTTTCTGGACCGGGTTCTGCACTGGTGTCAGGGGCTCTGGGTACTTACACTGAGAGTCGGGCCGGCAGGTCCTCTGGTCAAAGGAAGCAACAGTCACCTGTCAAGGCAGATGGGAGCCTATTTGCCGCTTCGCTCTGGGTCGGTCACCACAGGCTCCCATCTCCAGGCAGTGCGGTGACTATGAAACATGGGTTTCATGGCCAGGGCTGCTGGGCCGGGCCCCTAGCCCTGATCTAGACTGTACCCACCCCACCGCGGCCCGTGCATGTCGGAGTAAGGAGGTCACCAAGCAGCCGGTTCTCCGGGTCGGTGTGTAACCACCACCACGCGGATTTGGACCTGGGATCTCTGAAGCAGAGGTCTAGGCGCCTCTACCCTCTGAGCTAAAAGCCAGCTGGCTCCCAGCCCATGCTGGAGAGGTCTCTTGATCTTAACTGTTGCTGTGGTCTAGGTACCACTCGCGTTGCTCGGTAACCACACTAGGTGTGTGTGTTACACGTGCACAAGCTGAACCTTCTGGTTTTTCCCATTTCCCCCTCTCCAGGCTCGTGCCCAAGAACCAGTGCACGTGTGCCAGCGCCAAGCACGTGGAAATCTACCAGATGGAAGATTACGTCGATAAGAAAGACATCGCCTCCCTGAGAGCGAGGCGCCAGCGGGAGTTTGAGCACTACCAGAAAAGGTACGTTGGGTAAAGTGTCCGTTCCCGGGTGCCTGGCTTCCCCAGCAGCCACGCCGCAGATGCTACCTCCCTTCCCAGCCTGGGGCTAATGGGCCACCCCCAAATAGACAGAGTCCAGCAAATTTCAGGGTGTGTCAGACAAGCATGGGGGGAAAATGAGCATCCAGGGTTCCGCTAAGGATCTTGCAGGTGTTGAGGGTGGGGGCGAAGTGCCCCTGCTGCTCTTGACTGTCTTGGTGAATGGGGATGGATGTGGTCTCCGCAGGGTATTTATACGTCCAAAGCCGACCCTTCGCCTCCAGGCGCGATCCCAGCTGGAAGCCAGGGGAAATTCTGGGGAGCAGAGGGCACCTCACCTGCCCCTTCCCTCGCGAGTGCCGGCAGCAAAGCTGGCAGGTGCCTTTTGCACTACGAGGGTTGCTGTACAGAGGGTGCATCCCCTCGGCCGCTGATGGGCCGACCTTGCCGAGGGCAGCAATGCTCCCCTGGAAAAAGGGGGTCTGCGATGCCAGGTTCTGCCTGGAGGCGGCCAGCGGGTGGAAGGAGCAGGGCTGTCCAGAGAGTCCCTCTGCCCTGAAGGAGCCAAAGTTAAACTTGCAAAACATTAAAAAAGAAACCAAAGGAAAAATGAAAACCACAAATGAGCAGTAGGGCTTGGAATCACAGCCCTGGAAGGGACCTCGAGAGTCATCGAGTCCAGTCCCCTGCCCTCGCGGCAGGGCCAAGCACCAGTTAGACCAGGGTTTCTCAAACTGTCCTCTGCAGAGCCCACATCTCCAGGGGCTCCGCGAGGCTGACAAACTGGAAACATCGATGGGTACGACACATGCAATCAGTGGACCGCTGGGGCTCCACATACACTTCTATGCATGTAAAGGGCTCTGGAGCCCAAAAAGTTTGAGAACCGCTGAGTTAGATCATCCCTGGCAGGCGTCTGTCCAACCTGCTCTCCAATATCTCCAGGGACGGAGATTCCACAACCCCCCCAGGCAACTTATTCCCGTGTTTAACCCCCCTGACAGGAAGTTTTTCCTAATATCCAACCTAAACCTCCCTTGCTGCAGTTGAAGCCCATTGCTTCTTGTTCTGTCCTCAGAGGCCAAGGAGAACAATTTTTCTCCCTCCTCCTTGTAAAGCCCTTGTAGATACTTGAAAACTGCTCTCATGTCCCCTTCTCAGTCTTCTCTTTTCTAAACTAAACAAGCCCAATTCTTACAGTCTTCCCTCTTAGCTCATGTTCTCTAGACCTTGAATCATTCTTCTTACTCTTCTCTGGACCTTCTCCAGTTTCTCCACAACTTTCTTGAAACGTGGTGCCCAGAACTGGACACAATCCTCCAACTGAGGCCTACTCCGACACAAATGGGTATTCAACTTCAATCCCATTACACACATTACAGGTACGTCTAGACAGCGGCGCTATTTTGGGATATGTTGGGTATCACGAAATAGCGTTTTCCGCGTCTTAAGAGCACACCCGTTATTTTGAAATGCAATCGAAATAACGGGTGTGCTAGTCCGACGTCCCGCTAAACATCGTTCCACGAGGATTAGGGATTTGTCGGAATAACGGCCTGTTTGGAAATTTGGCGCCGTGTGGACATTTCCAGATGTGCAGACAGCGCCGAATTTCAAAATCGACTATCTTGAAATGAACGATGCAAATTGTGTCACTCATCTCGCACTCGCACCGCTGCGCAGGCACATCCTGATGTTCTGGAAAAGCCTGAAATCCCCTTTGTGGCTACCAGAGCCCCCTCCGGATTAAATATGTGAGTCGCCCTTCGCTGCGACTCCTCGGTCTGACCCTCGGAGGCAGCGAGGTGGCTGTCGCTCACATTCAGTCCCACCAGGGTCTGCCGTGTGCTTGAAGGTGGCTGGGTGGGTGAGCTCGGCTCGCTGTGCGCTGGGCCTGATCTCAGTCCCCGAGGTGTGAGGCTGGCTGACAGCGAGGAACATGCCACCACCCCTTACGGTTCCACGTGCTTTTGTTCCAGGTACCCCTCGATGACTCCAGATCTGGTGATAGCCAAGGCAAACTTGCCATTAAGCTTCCCTATTCAAGGAGTGGAGGTGATGCCCCTGTGCACCATTGTGATTCCAGGTAGACGTGTTCTGTGCCTTTTCGTAGCCCACTCACGGACCTGACTCCCCCAGGGTTGCATGCACTCACCGGGAAATAGAGGGGCTTGGTTCTTCATCACACCCATATTGGGCTTGGCTGACTCTGAAGATTTAAGCCTTCATACAAATCTGCTGAATTCACAATCCATTCCCCAGCACCCGGAGATGGGATCTTTCTCCCAGTGAAGTGCCCAAACCACCTGGGCTGGGTTATGGAATTCTAAGCACGTGGCACTTGGTGTTGAAGAATGCTCTGCAGGGCTGCACAAGTACAAAAAGGGCTGAAAGGAGGAGGATCCCAACTGCATTTTAAAATAAATCTCCCTTTTCTGATTTGTCATCGGAGCACAGCCGGCTCTTCCATCCGAATGGTTTCTGGAAGAGCTCTGTGGAAGTAGAGTTTTTAAATTCATCTTCCCCATTTGCTTAACATCAGAGCGGCCAGACGGGGTCAGACCAAAGGTCCATCCAGCCCAGTGTCCTGTCAGCCCAGTGGCCAAGGCCAGATGCCCCAGAGGGAGGGAACAAAACGGGGAACCCTCATGTGATCCCTCCCGTGTCACCCATTTCCAGACAAACAGAGGGTAAGGACACCATTCCTACCCATCCTGGCTAATAGCCATTGATGGAACTAACCTCCATGAATCTATCTAGCTCTTTTTTGAACCCTGTTAAAGTCCTGGCCTTCACCACATCCTCTGGCGAGGAGTTCCACAGGTTGACTGCTCACTGTGTGAAGAAAAACTTCCTTTGGTTTCTTTTAAACCTGTTGCCTATTAATTTCATTTGGTGACCCCTAGTTCTTATATTATGGGAACAAGTAAATAACTTTTCCTTATTCACTTTTTCTACACCAGTCATGATTTTGTAGACATCTATCATATCCCCTCTAGACTCCTCTTTTCCAAGCTGAAAAGTCCTACTCTCTTTAATCTCTTCATAGGAGATCCGTTCCAAACCCCGAATCATTTTTGTTGCCCTTTTCTGAACCTTAATTGCTGCAAATGTTGGAATCTTGCAAGATTATCTGTGTCTGGCGTTTATAAAGGTGCAGTGAGTGGAGGAAACCTAACGGCCGTCTCTCTAGCTGGTTTAAATGAAGGTGGCTCTGTTGACTTCCCTGCCTTTTGCTTGTTGAAGATCTAGCCCTAAATCTTTAGAGTTGCCTGATGCAAAAATATGACTTGACATCTCGAGATTTCTCCCGGGACAAAATTGGGGGCGGGGGAGAGATGCACAGAGAAGAGCTGGTGTCGTAGTGGTACCCAGCTATGCAAGCCTGGTTCGGATGAGCTGATGGAAGCCTTGTTAGGGAACCGTAATCTCCTAGGTCAAAACATTGGCTGTAGGCTTGTCACTTAGTGTCCCTTGTGTCTGTTTCCCTTCGTTCTTCAAGGGCTTCGTGTGCAGGGACTGGAAGAAGAAAAGTACAAGGTATGTTTCACAGGGGAGCCAACAGACTTGCCGGGCCCCTGAGCAAGGTGTAGAGGGGAACGTGGCTTTGTGTTTCCGGTAGGGGCGTGGCCTCAGGCAGAAGGGGCGGGGCATCTCCTGCCCGCCCTCGGAGCCGCCCGGAGTGCACCGTGCGGGCTCCAGCAGTGATTTTAAAGGCTCTGGGTCTCCAACGGCTGCTGCTGCTGTCATAGAAGCACCTGCCCTGGCTGCCCCCCACTCCCTGCGGCCGGCAGGCCTGTGTTTCCTGGTGTGACCCGTTTCATGGTCGTGCTTGGAGCGCTCTCAGGATGAAGGGTGACTCCTTTGTTTGGCCCGCGCTGTGCCTGCTATTGCAGCCTGGTATTGGTCACGTAGCATGCGGCGAGGTTGTACTCCTACCCTAGGCAGAGGCTGGCGCTAGCCTTCCTGGCGTCGGCGTGCTAGGAGCAGCAGCAGGGCAACGCTGCCCAGAGGGTGGCTCCAGTTCGAGGCGGCCGTCTCACTGGCCTCCTGCTGGTTGCCTGGCTGCGGGCCGTGATGGGGAAAGAAGGGCCGTTTTAAGGAGTCGGCCGTGTGGTCAAACCGGACCGGGGAGGCAGGAGAGGGGAGGCCTTGTCACTTTTGCTGCGATGCTGAAGAGCTCCGGCACTCAACGCAGGTGATCCTACAAGCATCCCTGGGAACCCTCAACACGCTGGCGGACGTCTCCGAGGACACCGTGGATGGGCGGGGCCAGAAAGAGCTGACCATCTCGACCTCCGATTTGGAGCTGCTGAATTTCATCCTGGACCACATCACGTACACCAGTGCGGTCTACCAGCTCCATGCAGTAGACCTGAGTGAGTATCATCCGGACCTTTTCTTCAGCCCCCTGGGGATGCTGGCCCTCACGTCCTCGGGGGTCACTAGGTCACGAGCCGGAACCTGCCCCGCTCACGGTGGCTCGCGTCAGGAGTCCTTCGGAAAGGCCCGTGTGGTAGCCCAGCATGAGCAGACGGGCTCTACAGCAGAATTGGATGCAGGGGGGCTGGACCACATCTTACAGCACCAGTCCCCCAAAATTTTACCTCCTACCTCTTCCCCTTGTCCGTGTCCCCTTTTCCCCAGAATTGGGGCCAGGCCCAGCCCGTGGCTTGGGGGCAGGGCGGGAGGGTGCAGACAGGAGTAAGGAGGCTGAGGTTGTAGCACGCTCCACACCCCCCTTCCCACGCTGATGGGATGCTGCCACTCTCGCTGGCCACTTCTTCCAAAGCAGCCAGACCTTTTTGGCAGACATTGGCAAGGTCAGTCACCATCCGGGGGGGGACAATTTCCAGGCCCCTAGGCAAGGGGGAGGGCGGATGTGAGCTCTGTGCTGCTAGAAGGGGTGTAGCCTCAGGCAGAAGGGCGGGGTTCGGAGTGCTGCCTTCAGCGCCTCCTGGAGCGTGCTGCCCGGGGCTCCAGCGGTGATTTAAAGGGCCACTACCACCAAAATCACCAGGCCCTGGGGCAGTTGGCAGGCCTAGTCGCCATCCACAGGAAGCTGGAGCCCTCCTTCCATGCCTTGCTTCCCAGCGTGTGTCTCTTGGGCTGCAAATTACACATGCGGCGAAGCTAGACCGCCACGTCAGGGGCCTTCCGGGTGCTTGGCAGAGAAATCTCCTTTGAGTCCGTGGAAAATCTTTCAAGAGCCTTTCTGGGCTTCCCCCGGGCCCATTTTCCATCTCCAAGGCTGGCGGATCCTCCCCCGTGTAACCCCCGGGGTGGAAGACGCTTGTCCCGCCGAACGCTCTGCCGAGGAGCAGACGGATTTCCGCTCCCGCTTCGTTCCGGGAGCCTCGGCGTGCGGGAGACGGCGGAGTGATGCCACTCACCTCGTCCGCTTTTCCCTCTTTTCCAAGTGACTTTCCGGAGCAGGCAGCATGTCGCTCGGTTTCCTGTGATCACCCGCCAGCCCAGCCTTCCCAAGCTGTTTGATCCGGGGGCAGGTGAGTGTCCCAGAGTCCTCCCTTGTAGGAAACTCCTCCTGTCCTTCGGCGGGCGGATCCGAGACCATGCAATTGCTGACAGGAGAGTCGGACCCCGGGCTCTACCGTCCAGGTCGGACCACCCTGGGCCAGCACCCTGGGGACCTGCCCCATTCCAAAGGGGGACTTTGCCAGATCGGGGGGATCCCCTGCCACCAGCCTCCCAGGACGCTGCCCCTCCCTGTGGCAGGCTCTGCTCCGGCCCCACTGCCACCGGGCGCCAGCCCTGCTGCCACTGGCCAGCTGGTGCCCTCCCAGGGATGGTGCCCCCCAGCCGCTGGCTGCCCTCCTGCTGTCCTGCCTGCGAGGGCTCCTTGCTGCTGGGCTCTGGCCAGCTCCCCCTTCCGGGTGCCCAGGCTCTCTGACCCGGCAGGACCACGGATGTTGCTGGACCAGGGCCCCAGATTTAGGCGGTTCAGTCTGTCGCTGGTCGTCGTGCGACTTTCTCCGGTCAAACACGTCTGGTCTGGACAAGGGCTAAATGCAGCCGCCTCCTAGTTCACGTTCTGGGGCCCAGCAGGTTCTTCCAGGGCAATGTCCAAAGAATCCCCGAGCGACCCGCCCGTGAACACCGGCTGTGACAACACGTAGCGCGGCTCCTTCCATTGCAGGGTCTGCATGCACCTCGCTGCCCCTCGGGCTGCCCCGTGCCTCCCCCCCTTGGCAGGCAGGGGAACTCGAAGACAAAGAGGCTGTCTGGGCTTGTTTAGCCTGGCAAAGAGCAGACTACGAGGGGACACGAGAGCAGCTCTCAAGTACCTACGAGGCTGTTACAAGGAGGAGGGAGAAAACTTGTTCTCCTTGGCCTCTGAGGACAGGACAAGAAGCAACCGGCTTCAATTGCAGCCAGGGAGGTTCAGGTTGGACATTAGGAAAAACTTCCTGCCTGTCAGGGTGGTTAAGCGCCAGAATAAATTGCCTGGGGGGTTGTGGAATCTCCGTCCCTGGAGCGGTTGGAGAGCAGGTTGGACAGACGCCTGCCAGGGATGAGCTAGAACAGGTGTCGGCCATTAGCCGATTTTCCCTGGCACACGCATGGGAGCCCTTGCTGCTGCTGGAGCTCTCCTGCTTCCCGGGCAGCCGGTTTGCTGTGGTGGGAGGAGGCGGCTGAGGCTCCTCAGTGGCACGCTTTCCTCCCCTCCCCTCCCCCCACAGCCACAGCCAGGCCCCCAAAGTGCCTCTGGCCTGGAAGACTCTTGCTGGCCCCCCCCTCACCCCGGCCT